AACAATGCCCCTTCCTTGAAGTGTCTGTTCATATTTAGAGGAATTAGCCACTGTTATGGGTACTACTTGATGACCTGTCACAAGTGACCTTCCAATCTTCACATCCGCTAGCCTGGATGGGTTTCCACTACTTCCACAAGCATCGGGCTTTCTTGGATATGTTCTTTTATTCTACCCCAACTTATCTTCTTTGACATAGGAGTATTGTGGTTGACTATAGTGCTGTGACATGTTAATCAACAAGCTAAGTAGCGACGCTTCACGTCCCTTCATTCGGTCTTTTTTCGGCTTTCCTGGCTTGCATCGGCGGGGGCATTCTGAATGAAAGAGCCAACAGTCAGTCATTAACTGACTCAATTTCTTTTTCACGAAGACTTCTCAAAATTTCTTCAAAGCTACATTTTAAAAACTTAAAACACCCACTACGAAAATGAATGAATGAATCTTACGTTCCCATAGAGCGGAATGAGTTTATATGAAATTGATAGCAATCCATCCATCGTCAAAATGACTTTGTTATTTTTTATCCTTTTTTGCCCCCATAGGTACAGCGGCATGTTTGCGGATTTACAACGCTAGAAACCGGGTTTCGATACTCGTAGTGGGAACAGCACATATAGCTCATTGTATAACTTAGTGCTTAAAACAAACATCCATCCGTTTTTTTATTAACATGTGAGTGGTCTAAAATATGTAAAATGATTCCACTACAAGCATAATTCGTTTATAAAGGAAATATTTTATTATTTGTAAATATAATGAATTTTATGAAAAAATTAAGTAATATGTGTAGCAAAAGTTACAACATTTATTACAAATAAAGTAAATATCGTCATAAATATGTTTCTACGAACCACAAGCTTGTTTACACAGCCACGTGTATATATATATAAATTATATTCGTGAAGCGTGCGTTTTATTCGGAACGTGTGTGAGGGAAAAATTTCTATATTTATCAGTTATAACTTTATTGTGGTATATATAATGTTATCACTTAAAAAGCAAAAACGTATAGAATCTAAGAAACGGAAAATAAAGGCATTTTTGGAAATAGCAAAGGCTAATGAAGATGATAAAGAAGCACGTCAGAAAGCAAAAAAAGCTAAGCTATCGTGTTTAGGCTTACGACAGCGTGCTGGTAAACCTATAGTAGGCTTAGAGTCAGAAGATAGTGACAGTGATATAGAATCAAGCGACGTTGATGATACAGGTAAATCACTAGTCTTGAAAAATGTCGAAGGAGATAAAACCCAACAAAGTCTGGATTTTAACTCGGAACATGATCTACAATTTCTAAATGTGAATGCTACTAAGAAAAAGCTACTTGATGATAGTTTTAAAGGTATCAAGATAAAATCGCATGTTAAAATGAAGCAAAATTCTATCACTATTAGTCACGTTAGTAAAAATAGTAACAATCAATTTAGTGAATTGCAAAACCTTCGTGCTAAACTGCGTGATCAGAAAAAAAGGAAAATGTATCGACCATTATTTTATTTAACAGATACTGGTTTTGATGCACAGTTAAAGAGTGAAATAAATGCTAATGGAGAGTATTCATTTTTAAAACCATCACATAAGCTTTTTGCACAGGATATTCAGCATTTATTGCTAGTTTCTTTAATGGGAAGAGAAACTTCGTACAATACAAGATGGTGCAGACTGCTGCGCTGGCAGAAAACTAGTCATGTGGTTGTCCTCGTAGTTGATAATGTATCTGTAGATGATTTTTGCAACAATGTTAATTGTTTTCCACGTATGTGTAACTTGTTTAAGCATGCAGTTGAATTTCTTTCACCAAAGCTCTATGGCATGAATTTAATAGAAGAGTTAAGTCAAGTTCCATTAAGTGTGGGTGGCAGAGAAAAGATGCTAAAAAAGTTTGGTAATATAACATCTCTCATGAGTTCAGGATATGTTCACAAAGCTTTGTCAGCAATTTTTCCTATCACATTACTAGAGAAAACAAATGAAGAGCCAGAAAAAAATAAAACATCTGGAGAATGTTGCTCACGTATTGAGCTTCTGCTGAGCCCAATTCAGCTGATAATGGAAAACTTTCCATTACCAATGGTAGATAAAGATGAACCCAGTGACTACTGTTTTACAAAGAAGGAATACTTGGAGGTTTCTCCACATTCACCACTATTTGCACTCGATTGTGAAATGTGTATGACTACGGAGAAGAAATTAGAACTAACACGAGTGTCAATTGTCAATGAACACCTTAAAGTTGTTTACAATAGTCTTGTAAAACCACATAATAAGATTACCAATTACTTAACTAAATACAGTGGTATTACTAAGCCCATGCTTGATTCTGTAACTACTAGACTGGAAGATGTTCAAAAAGATATTCAAGACTTGTTGCCTCCAGATGCTATTCTTTGTGGCCATTCATTAAATTGTGACCTTCAAGCTTTGAAAATGATACATCCGTATGTTATTGATACAAGTGTAATATATAATATATCAGGAAAACGGTTCATAAAGCCTAGTTTGAAGATGTTATCTTACATGTTTATTGGTGAGAAAATACAAATGGGAGATGAAGGTCATAGCCCTGTTGAAGACAGTTCTGCAACAATGAAGTTGGTACTTTTGAAGTTGAAGAATGATTTACATTTTGGTGATGTTGTGTTAGGAGGGACTATACCTATACGCAATAATTTAATAGAAGAGAAAGCTCCTTCACACATTAATCATACAGGATTAGTGACTAGTCTCTTCCGGCATGCAAAAGAAAGAGGAAAGTCTGTGTGTGTCATAGGTGAGACAAAAGCTATAGAACAGTATCCAATAGTTGTTCTTGATACCAATGTCAGAACAATTAAGGTGGCAAAAGTTAAGAAAGTTTCCAAAAAAATGAAAGAGGAAGCAATTAATCATTATTTGACCCTGGGTCATTTTGATTTGCAAAGTGGCTGGCAAAATGCAGGCTTTACAGATATCTTAAAAAAAATTGACAAATATGTTTTTAAGGTTCACAAAGCTTGTGCAGACAGAGCCCTCTTTATAGTTATGTTAAGTGGATGTGCAAAAACTGAAGGTAACGGTGTGTGTTTTGTAACAATAAAAGATACGAACCAGTAGTAACTACTGTTGTAAATATATTGTCTTTCGATTTTGATGGACACAAAAGTAGTTATGTAGTGTTAACTGTTAATACATGAAGTTATGAATCGTGATGAAATAAATACCCATCTTGTATCATGTTTGTTTTTTATAAAAGGACTATTTTTATGTAGAAAGCTCAGATTTTCTGTTTTCTTAACCTGTTAATAGTTGTATATTTTTTTTTTAAAGCATACATTGCAGACTTTAAACTTGTTGAATTTTCACGTGTTGAACCTATTTAACAAGTCATATGTTTTAAGAAATTTCACTTCAATGGATCTGGTAAGTACGTCTGGTTTAGTAATTACAAGTCATATTAGGATTCCTATCACAGGAGGTTACTACTAATGAACTTAAAAGCAGTTATCTCTTTCATCTATAATCCAGTGTGTTTGTGGTCAACTCGGGTAAATAATGTATAAAAGCAAAAACATTTTTGTTGAAAAAGTGAAACACTGAACAAATAATTAAAAGCTTATTCAGACTTGTGATGGCATATAACAGAATTATGTATCAGCACATTTTTTGTACTTATTTTATAATTTTTAGGGTTTATTTATAATTAATGTGTTTATGAAATAAATACTATCAGTATAAAATGTTTGTTTTGTGTGAAGTTCCCAGTAATAGAGGCTCTTTAAAAAGTATAGAAATATGAATAACTGCTGTTTTGAATTTGTCAAAATTGAAAAACAACATATGTACTGGGCTATTCTGAGAAACAGATGTTTCTTTACCATTCACAATAACAATTAGAACATACAGATAACAAAAGACCAATATATCTTTCGAGACTGTCCTTGTACCACCAACCTTTCAAAAAAATAAAATTTTAAATCCACTCTTTTTTTCGGGAAACCATCAATTCTCTCTCTATACTCGTGAACGTTCTAGCCCCTACTGCCAATAAGTATTCATTCTATAAATGAATCTACCTGCTTGAAAAATAAAATTGTATTAACTGAAGCCTAGCCTATTTTTTCCAAACTTTGACCTTTATTTTTAATGTTCCGTTATCTTCAGAATATAGCAGAAAGAAATCAGAAGCTTGTGGTCCTCTAGATAACCTTATAAACTTCAATGGTCATTTCTTACCCATCTTAAAAGATAAGTCAAGATATCTTAATACAGCCCTATAAAATAACCTCCAAATCATTCTAGTAACCCTTGTCTGAACCATTTCCAACAAGTCAATATTCAGTAACTGAAACTGTACACAGTATTCTAAATGATGCCTAACTAGTGATTGTTTGTACATAGAGATAATTACATCTTGATTTTATTAGCTTGATGAATCGTTTCACTTTCACACAGTTCAATATAAAAAATATTTTATTCCTATTTTCTGTCTTAATGGTATTGGGGTTTAGTTCAATTATGTTCTGGTCTTAATAGTTTCGTTAATCTTAAGCATCCTCTTAAAATCAGCTCAACAAGTGATTGAAGACTGGCTGCTGGGCACAGGAGTACTACAGTACCATGTGTAATATTGTACAGATGACAGCACACTGACTATTCTTTCAAGTCTTTCTTAAACTGTGTTTCAAGTGTAATAGTTGAACCAAAATAACCACTCTCAAAATGAATATATATGACATGGGAATCATGCACAAGTAAATTATCAATCTTATAAAACCAAAGCATAACACAAATTAAATCACCATTCTCTTTTAAGTTGTAATACATAAGTCTATAAATACACTCTAAAATTCTATCAGATTTACTATTACAAATGAGCACTGCGTTGAAGGCTTTAGTAACTTCTCCACTGCTGTGCTAAGGTACTTTTCTTCAGTTATACTATTAAATGGTTTCTCACTAGTTTAAATTACAAGATCCAAGTCCTTTGATAATTCTTGTACTTACTATAATTAAAGTTCATTTGCCCAGTATTTAACTTACCAGTCGATCAAAGTAATTCTGTAATCCCTTAACAGCCTCAATTCAGATAGAAATACCCAAGGATGACAACAGCAAATGAAACATTTGGCTAGCTCATAAAGGCTGGAAGCCAGAGGGGTCTATGTGCTCTCTGGTGCTTTTTAGGATGATCAGTAAACAATGGATTTCTGCCAACTTTGGCTAATGTTCCAGTTTTTGAAATACTGAGGCAATACTTTTATAATTCAGTTTCCACTTGGGCAGAGTACTCACCAATCATTTAAAAACTGAATCTTTTAAAGGCAGGCATGGATGAAAGTTCATGAATGAACTATTGACTATCCTACCTTACTTTTTTTTTTTCAATTCTAAAACAAATTGATGACTGCTAGAATTTGTGACATTTTTTCAGAAACTTCCAGCTAATAGAGATATGATAATGTAATGGCATACAATGTATTAGATATGTTAGACATAAAAGTTGATTGAAATTTGCTGTACAAAACCTCTGATTTGAATTTAAGTACAAATATGTCTTATTATTTCAAAGTTTAACTGAAATAAACAAGCTTTTTGACTTAACAGTATATACTAAACGTGAATAATATGATTACAGTACTTTATGTATTCTGTATTGTAATACATTACCAGATTCTTTGGGTTAATGCAAAATGAAAACATATGAGATATGTGTAACATAAATTACGATACAGAAAGTATCTTAATCTGCAATATTTAACACATTTGTAATGTTATAATTTTTAAGTAAGTCGTAATACCTGCTCCTCACAACTTTCGTTAGATCAGTTTATCTCTGTCCAGTTTGGACTCCATCTAAATTATTTCACACATGAAAGAAAAATGTTTTATGTCATTTTAAACAAATGGGTGAGTACAACATGGGATTAAGATGTATTGCAAAAGATTTAAAATTATCTTTATGCTAATCCTTTTTAATTGTCTGCCATTGTGTTTTAAGAAATTTGTGTATTTCTGACACGTTTAGATATGGTTGCACAGTATTTTTTCACACCTGAGGATGACGTGAATCAATGTCCAACATGTAGAGTGTCTTTTACAACCATTGATTGGTCTTTAAATAATAATTTTTATTGTGTATAATACCATGTTGATCCTTTGCGTATTTTAATATATATTTAAACAAGTTCCTTGAATTTTAGCCTTTTAATTTTCAGATACATTTGGCTTCAAAAGATATTTTGCATTTGGTTAGCTGTCTATGAATTAGTCACTTAAAAGGAGCCCCAAATAATGATTTCAGTTTAGTGTAAATGTAAGAGCAAACAAAGCAATCTCAGATTGAACCTCCTAATATTAGTATTTGATCTCCAGCACTCCAACTCCAAGCTTTTTTCACAAGATTTGAACAAATTATATGGATTGCACATTTAGAAATAAAAATGGCAGAAATCCACTACATTGGGAACCAAGTTCATTCCTGTTAATGTCATTAACAAACTTTACTAATTATGCCCCTTCCAATATCATTAATAACATAATAATATTTTGGGACCAACTGGTCCATCTTGGCTGTTCCATCCTCTAAATTAAACTAAAACTATTAATAAATAAATTTTAAAAAATCTTAAAGCAAGCCCTTATCATTTATATACTTATCAAGCTTTCTCTTAAACTCACTTAAATTTACTGCCTCTACAACATTCTAAGGCCAACCGCCCTGTTACAAAAATGAAACTGTCTTAGCTGAAGATAACTCCTACCTTGCCAAAACTTATTTGTGTCCCCTAGTCCTACTATTCTCACTCTTAAATATGAAAAAAGATGATGCATCAATATTATCAATTCCCATTAAAATCTTAAACACCTCAATCAGATCCCCCCTAACTCTTCTTTTTTCAAGAGAAAACAATTTGAGAGATTTCAATCTCTCCTTGTAAGACAACCCCTCCATCCCAGGCCCCATTTTCTGAACCCTTTCCAACAATTCAATGTCTTTCTTAAGGTAAGGAGCTCAAGACTGAAGACAATATTCCAAATGTGGCCTAACCAGTAACCTACACAATGAAATTATAACCTCTTTAGACTCGTATTCAATATTTCTGTAGATACAACCTAAAATTCTATTTACCCTACCACTAGCAACAACAATTCATTGCTTGGATGGCTTAAGAGACTGATCAACCACTACACCAAGATCCCTTTCTTTCATAGCATTGTTAAGGTTATTCCCATCCAAATTATACTTATAATTAAAATTATGATAACCCAAATGCATTAGCTTACATTCATTATAGTTAAAACCCATTTGCCCAACTCACTAAATGATCTAAATCCTTTTGTAAATCAGCAGCATCCTCTTCACAGCTAGCAACACCCAAGACCTTAATATCATCTGCAAATGTAAATAATTTATTGACTAGTTCTTCATCTATGTCAGTGATGTAAATCAAAAGGAGGAAAAGTCCAAAGACTGATCCCTGATGTACTCCACTTGTGACATTAATCCAGACTGACTGAACTCAATTTGTAACAATCCTCTGCTTTCTTCCATCCAGCCACTCTTATATCCAATTTGCTAACTTACCCCTCGCACCTACGGAGATAATTTTTTCCAAGCCTTTTATGTGGTGCCTTGTCAAATGCTTTCTTAAAATCCAGATACACCAAATCTACACCCTTACTCTCATTTACATAAGCAATAACCTTTTCAAGGAATGTCAAAAGATTTGTAAGGCAATATTTTCTCTTAGTAAAATCATGTTGACTATCCAATAAAATTCCAAACTTTGTTAAATGACTTTGCAAAGCATCTTTTAAAAGACTGTCCAAAACTTTTCCCACAACTGTTGTAAAACTAATGGGTCTGTAATTACTGGGACAATTTTTATCACCCCCCTTGAAGAGAGGAGTTACATTAGCTAACTTCCAATTCTCTGGTACCTGCCCACAATTCAAGGAGTGACAAAACATAGTAGTAAGTGGCTCAAATATCCAATCATTAACCTCCTTCAAAACCCTTGGAGATATATCTGGCCTAGAAGCCTTATCGTTTTTTAAATTTCCCAATTTTTTCTTAACCAGCTCAGAATTATTGCAGTCATCTTGTTCGATATCATTTCCAGTTATCAACTATTCAGGATGTGGAATAATGCTTAAATCTTCATTAACAAAATTTAATAACCCTGCCATCTCGTAACCATCAGATACTAGCCTTCCTTTATCATCCCTCAAGGGTCCTAACTCCATCCTAACATTTTGTTTACCTTTAATGTATTTAAAGAAACTTTACCA